TGTCATCTGACAAATTTGGAAGACTGGAACAACCCCTTCTCTTCCCTCTCATTTGTACCTTTACAGTCTTAAATTTAGTATTCCAGTGCAGCATAAATCAGGTGATCTGAGGCTCTTCAATAATATTTGTCAGGTTGCCATGTCATTTGTTTAAGGGGATGGCCAGCCAGGTACGCTGAATCTGCTCCATGCCAAATGCCTGCCCGTCTCCTCTGTCTCCTGAGTGCCCACTCCACTCCAGCTACTTGCAGGAAGGGGCAAAAAGAAAAAAAAAMATCTCTTAAAACCCTAATGCCTGTCTTGTTTCAGACCTATGAGGTTGATTTCAGGCTTCCTGCCCCAGGCTGAGGAGGGCTGCTCTAAGCCAAGGGAGAGCTGACCACAGCAGAAAAATGGAGACCAGGATAGTGAAGGCAAGTTACTCAACAGGCATGCATTAGTGAGGAACACAGCTTTCCCCATTCTCCTGATCAAGAACAGGCACTCAAGCTAGAAAAATTTGGGAATGGGACACATACATTTCCATCCTCTCCTCCCCCTACTTATCTAAACTTACTTTTAATGGTTCAGTCAACTTTATTTTGAGTAATAGCTTTCTGCTGCAACTTAAAGACCCATACTTCAAGAAAACTGAACCCAGAAGGGAAGTCAACAGTGATAAGAGGATTGATATTTTGATATTTTCCATATGTAGCAAGAATATATATTAAAATAAACCACCACAGATGATTTCACAAAGAGTTCAGGAGGCCTTTTAAACAAACCCATCCTTCAAACACTGAAGAGAAACASTCTGCAAGAAACCAACTCAACAGTAACTTAAGAGACATTATTATGCAGAGGGGGCCAAAATCCATACTGAAACCACACAGTACTGTAGTATTTACTTCAATTATTGCCGATAATATTTTAAGCTACATTATAAATGCTGAAGTTTATGATATGAAAACTCATCCTTACTCCTGAAGGATGTAGGATCCCCCTGCCCTGTGCAATCCCTAATCCATAAGCATTTCATGGTACACTCTGTTTATGTCCTTTCCTTACACTTTTGCAGTGGCAATGGTGCAATATTTGCTTGTCAAAGGTCACGTCTTGTATTTGATCCATGAAATGACTGCCACATATATGCACCCCCAAAACATATACAAGCTATTCTGTTCTCACTCCAACTCCCCAAAAACATTTTCATCTTATACCAAATGCCAAATAAACCCATGCTATAATCAAGAKTAAAATAAAAGACTACAAACATCAGCTACTAGGATTAAAAAAAAGGGAAGCTTTTGTTTTCAAAGATATATTTGGAAATTACATAAAGAACTGCAGAGATGAATGCATTTGGAAAAAAAAAAAAAGAAATTATGAAGAGCTCACTTGACCTGTACTATCCTCTAATTAGATGTCTGACTGCACACTAATAATACAGTTTACTGCAAAGTTTGTTCTGACTAGAAAAAAGGATGGAAACCAGTTTTACATATAAGGGTTTGAAGTTTTTTTTTGGTTTTTTTTTTTTTAAATACCTTGGGTAATGCTTTCGAACAAAAGACCAAAATATCAAATGAACCTCTTTCAGCTACAGTATCCTGTGCTGTTGGAAATTTTTCTAATTATAGCCATTTTGGGAAGCAAATTCTGACTAAGATTTCTAGACAGGCAAACAAGGTGCATAGACATCAAAGGATTAAATGGAGACATGGAGTAAAGGGAAGAGTAGAGCAATCTCATTTAGACAGACAGATGTACGAAAGAAGTGGCAGTGGTTTTAAGCAGAGTTATTTCCCCTCTTTCACCTTCCAAAAGGGAAAGAAATTAGAAAAAAAGAAAAAAAACCCAACCACAGCAAATCCTGTGAAACTTGAGGCAACCAGGACTTAATGATATTCAGATAACTGGACAAATAAGACAATCAGATGAGGGACAGAACTATGTCCTTTCACTTGCATCCCCTTTAGGGAGGAAGAGACAGAAGAGAGGAGAAAGGCAGGCATTTGGCGTGGGGCAGGATCACCATATCTGGCTGGTCAGCAATGTCCAAAGGGGAAATAAATTGATGATGGAGGAAATAATCCAATATTACTGCTTCCAATCTTCCCTAAATTTCTTAATTTTACCCCTTTGAATAGTAGAAACCACACCTCAAAACTGCTACAACTACAAAAAAAMMCCAAAYAAAACAGGGCAGGCTTATTTGGGAGAGGTGGTTTTCCTTCACTTCTCTGGGAGCCTAGTAACCAGTTGACCTACATACTGTAAAAGTGACAGCATTGCTGTTTCACTCTCCTACTTCCAACTGCTTTAGCCCCCATCCTTTGCACAGTAAGGATGAAACAGAAGCCTGGACTTTACTGTTTTTATTGGCCTGAATGTACTTTTTTACAGTATTTTAAAAACTTTATATGTTTTTACACCTTCAACATATTTTTGAGGCTTATAATACTTGTGTGAAATGACGGGATATCAAGTTGATGTAAAGATGTGATTGATTCCCTTTGTGCTTCAGATCATGCTGCTTGTGCAACACAGCACGAAACGATGTGTCTGGGAAAGACATTAAAGTAGAAATCAATCTGATTTTCTTCAGAGGCAGAGTCCAYCCCTACCAATCCTTTTTACTCACTGGTACCACAGGATTGTAAGCTACATAATGTAGAGTAACATCAGACCTTAAATATGGGCCTTGTCAAACGTCAGTGTGCTGTCTTGGTAACACAAGTGTCCAATGGGGAAAACTATCACACATATTTCTTAAAGATTTTTTTCCCCATTTAATTTGCAAGCCCCATCAAGATGATAGCCTTACTTTTCAGAGAATCTCAGTAGAGACAAACTTGGAAAGGCATATACATGGTCCATTTTTCAGCTGTAAAGCCGTTGCATGAGCAAAATGCCTTGAATAGATGCCACAGCACTAATATTCCCAACATATTTCCATCTATTCTGTTAGGGCAGTGGTTAATACTGACAGGGCTTGGCTGGATTACTGACATTTTGTAAAACAGCCGGGGAGGTGGAAAGAAAAAATAAAGTGGGTGCAACAGATACCCGGGTGCATATAAAGGCGAAGAGAGAATGAAAGATGACAGTAGGGAATATCTACCTCAGGCTGAACTTTTTTCTGGAGAGAAGAATCAAAACAGGAACTTCCAGCCATTTAAAAGAATGAAGGTGAGGTTCTGTTGTAAAAAAACACCATTTAACATTTTCTAAAGAAACTTAAGTAGCATGGTCAACTGGGGCACAGGATCTGAAATTTCACAAGGGCTTCCTTGGAGCCAGAGAAGTCTGTTTGGCTTTCCAGATTTGAACCACCCACATTTGGATAGCCAGGAAGGTCCTGAGAAATCATTGGTATAAACTTCTTGGCAATACATGTCTCCAAAGGTTCTGTCAGCACAGTGGTACCCCAGCAATTCCAGTACTTCCAGGGGTCCAAGCTCTTCTTGACAGCTCACAATGTTACCTTGCAGACAGCTGCAACAACAGCCTCCAAGATTTGGAAAGAGAGTCACTAACTCTGGCAGACAGAGGACTGAAACTTGGACCACACKATTCTTTGTTAGGTTATCTGAGAGCTAAGCAAATCAGCCACAAAGCCCCGGCAAGGATCAGAGCAACAATGATAGGTGGAGGAACCCCAGTAATGCAATCAGTGGAAAAACCTAATCAGTGAAAATTAGAGCAYATTGAATTGTCTGTTTCCTATGACAATCCAAGGGAAAGATGACACCATTGTCCTTGGTGTGAAATGCACAGAGGTGGGTCTGTGGGGACTTTTTGATCAGAAAACTTGGCAAATGAAAGGAAGTGATTGCCTACACCAGCAAGGACTCCATAGGATGTATGAAGCAGCAGATTTTGGGACCATGTAAACCTTATGATGGGACTTTTGAAGAGGATTGTGGGAATGTGTAAAGATTATTCAGTGGAAGGAGAAAAGATGGGGAAAGAGAGTAATCAAGGCGGATTGCAAAGAAACAAATGTGGGAAGAAAATAAGAGAATAGAGGAAAAAGGAGTCAGTTGTCTGTAATGGAGTCTGGCCAGTAGTCTGACTAACTGAGCTCTGTGCTTGAAGATCACAGACCAGAGTCCATTCTCTATTCCTATTAAATCTGATTTCTGACTGCCTTTTGTCTGGGTGTGCTCTCTGCTCCAAAGGTGTATGCACGAGGACTGGAGAGCACCAGGAAAGGGCTGTGCTCAGCAGCTGCAATGAGCTGCAAACCTCAGGGGCTTGTGGACTCTGGTGCCATCAGCTGGAGCAGGACAGGGGCACCGGGGGCTGCTCCTGAACRGAGTGAGGAATTGAGGCCAGCAGCTGCAGCAGTGACCCATCTRTTGTGTGTGCCATATTGTACCAGCAGGCTCTGATGTGATCACCAGGAGAGAAGGAACAGGGCTGGGTCACCTGWGCTTTGTGYTCAYCCRAGAGCTGCCCTGTCTAGGTGGGTGYAGGTAAAGGCAGAGCTTCCCCTCCATGTTCAGCTGGCTGGGCTGGGCAGATGTGTGGGATCAGCACAGATGTGCTCTCTGTCACATCCTTCTCATGCGACAGGGAACGCTTCAGGGAGCCACCCCCTGGTGCAATACCTGTGACTGTGAGACAGCAGCTACAGCAACCACATTTTATCTCATTTTATCCAACTGACAGGACAAATACCCTGACTTTGAGGTCTTTSGAGAAGTCTCCCAAAATAATCAGTGAGTGTTCCATCTGCATACCCACTTTTATGTTAAACATGAAAGTATCACAAATATCATTCAACACACTAAGTAAAGATCATTACCAGCAAGTATCCTGCTCTCTGATTAGACAAGTCACAGATTGCTTGYTCTCTCCAGCTTTTGTGACTTTAAACCAAGGCAAGTTCACTTCCAAGTATTTTAGATATCTTTGTTTCAAGGTTCTCAACATCCTTCTTGTTTTAAATCCAACTCTGATGCAGAATGCATTCATTAAAAAAAGAAAAAAAAAAAGAAGAAAAGAAACCTTACCTCCAAGCCGTAGAGATATTTGAAACTGTTTTTCTGATTGGCTGCCTTTTCCACAGCTTGAGCTAATTTTACTGCTCCTCTACCACCAGCCGACCAGTGATTGCAGGGTACAGCATCAAATGCTCCAGACTCCTTTGCAATCTTACACACCAGATCAACCTCAGCTGGAGAGTCAGTTCTGCCAACCAAACAGTGCCATCTCATTATTTTCTCTTTTATAAGTTTTCTTTATAATCTTAGCCTCATTTACCATCAGCCCTGGTAAAGCACGTATATACAGAAATTGTGCCATATACATAATGCATTTATATATAGCATATGTATTTACATGTTTCAAGAAAACTTTGTAACTTTAATAGTTAATTAACATGGAAGATTATAAGTTCCATAATAGTATAAACTTTTTTTTTGCTAGTTTTAAAACCTTAAGAACAAGCTAAGGACTTTAATATCTTTGTATTCATGATGAAATAAGGAAATTCTTTAACAGCTTCTTTGTACTTGCCAAATTGAATAATTTAAAAGCCAAGTGAGAAATTTGAACTGCGTATTCACTCACAAGAGTAATGAAAGAACAGACTTACTTGAAGACATTTAGAGCAACCACAACAGGAACTCCAAAGAGCTGAGTAATTTGGATCTGTTTCTGTAGATTACAGCAGCCATCAGCTACCAGCTGGAGGTTCTGTGCAATTAAATAAAAATTAATGGCAATTGTAAGATACATAAAGTCTTCTCCAGCCAAAGAATTTTCCATAAATTTAAGTGAACATAAACAGTGCTGATCATGATAGTTGCAGGCAAGTGAAATGCTTCCAGACAATAGTATTCTGGCTTATTAATTCTCATTCCAATTAATAAGCATCAAACATTTTTAAGTAACTAACCAGTGTCCAAAATTTGTACATGAAACCATTGCTCTCTCCTGGGACACAGGAAAATGGTGCAGTTGGTGACTGGCTGCTTGTTGCCATGGTTGTGAAAGGGATGTTAGTCTGCTGTTTGCAGAGTTTATAAACAGACTGCGGTGGTGGGGTGGGGTTTGACATACAGATGTGTTAGATGCATAGTTTATRTGTGCACATACATAACCCAGATAAAAGCACAGCACTGGATTTCCTTATTTACTCTGTTACCTCACACTTTGTAGGCCTTAAATGTAACAAAACATATCTTTATCCTTATCCTTACACAAGCAGAAGACCAGAATTTTTGTCTACAGTGAAGTGACAAAGAAAACAAACCATCAGAATTCACTCTTTGAAGAGCGACATCCAACTTCAAATGTGCAACAYAAAGATATTAAACTTGTTGTTTAATGAACAGGTTATGATACCATTAATTTCAGAGAGTGTCTTTAACCCCTACAACACTCTGCTCTTGTGCTTCCATAAATGCCTGTATGTTGATCAGTCKGAAACCTAGTGCTCCTGGAAAAATTACTGAAAAAAGGTTATTTTTCAGCTATTTCAGTTCCTCCTTACAACCCATCGTGCAGTCACACACATGATACACACAAGAGGGATAGCACAGAGGGGCTGAGGGAAGATGAGGTGGTTTTRCTTGTTGGCAATGCCTGTTAGAGATGTTCACCGAATGGCAGCATTAGAGCAGTCAAACCTGAGGCTGCACACTCTCCAGCCAGAGCAAGAAGTTCTGATTCTCTGTACACCACATTATTTTTTTCCTTTAAACAAAAACCTCTCTTAAGTTTTTTAACAGTTCCTCTTACCTCTTCTGTGTATTCTTTCTTCAAGGGGGCACCAGCAGTTACCTGGGATCAGGTAATAATAAACAATCAGATTCATCACCGGTATTGATATTTACAGGGTCTGAAGTGCAATTTTGCCCGCTTTTATACTGCCAGCTAACACATACCAGGGGACACAGCATCACAGCCTGACTGCAGCTTGAGTTTTATTTCAAGTTGCACCAGCACACAAAGAGTARCAAGACTTCCTATTGTATCTGGGTAGCAAGATAGGGGCAGTGCCTCAGCCATGCCTTGCAAAGACTACCTAGGGGAGGTAATTGGATCTCATTCCACAACATATTGTTACAACACACCAGCAGTGCAAAGACAATGGGCAGCAACCTCCAGCAGCTGAAGAAATAATAACAATGCAGAAGAACATCATCTTTGAGTGCCCTGTAATTGCTGCCTGTGCCAAGGAACTGCATGCAAGTAACTTATTGGAAAGCACAAAGATTTACATGCAAAGAGCATCACCAGGGTACTAGGGTACTATATGGAATCTCCAAGGACTACATACATCAATCCCAGGCACTGGATTTACTCACTTTTGTCTCTAGCATTAGTCCATTCTATAGTTAATCTCCCAGTAAAAGTATCTGGTACTCTACATGCCTCAGTGATGAATGCATCACATTTATAAACAAATGAAAGCTTTAAACTTCTAAGGACACAAGTCAGACAGAAATAGARAAAGTTATTAAAATATATTTAAGTCCTATTTTTTCTAGATTGAATGATAACACATGTGAAAATATACCTGCCTTGATGGGCATGGAGAAATATAATTCAAAATAAAGAAAACATGCATAGAAGTGGACTAAAATGATAGAAAGTTAAGTCATTATATCAACCTGAAAGACAGAAAAAGGGCAGCTCAGCTTAACGCATAGAGATGATTAGCTGTAAGGGAAACCATGCATTCTAAAATTTTGTGGCTGTGGAAACAGCTCTGGTATTTTCACCCAGTGAGACTGTTTCCCTGGCAGCATCACTYTCGAGCATGCTGCCGGGCAGATGAAAGTGTTCCTGCGAGTTAAGTGTCTGTCACTTTGGCTAGCAGACTCTGATCTGACTGCACGTCTGAGGAGCATTTCTACTATCAGTAATCTSTAAAGTCTCTTTGTGGCTTAGACAGCAAAAAATTATACACCAGTGACTCTTGGTACACCAGGAAAAATCTTGCAAAATTTCATCAGTTACTTTAGTATCCCTGAGACAATCTGAGCAAAMTAAAAGGACATAAGGGGTACCATTACTGGAGTGAAAGAAATCTCAAAACCTTCACAAACAATGTTCTCTATTTCCACTCACATGCTGCAACTTGAGCTTGTCTCATTCCTCCTCGGCTGTAAAATTTCCCAGCCTGTGACTACTTCAGTGTGCTTACAAATGCTATTTCAAAAAGCATGAAAAAGAATATATGTATCTGTCTCTTACAGCTTTTTTTTTTTTTTTAATGCAACTGACCTTCCTTGCTCTGCACAATATAGTACTTCTTCAAATCTCTTTCATCCCTCTTCTTTCACTTGTRCCTTAACTTTAGAGACAGCATTAACTTTAGAGATAACAGGCATATAATGAGGTATCTCAGAAGGGTTATCTAAATACTGCCCTATAGACTACCCCAAATATTGCTTTAATCAAGGTATCTTACTTATTTCAAATATTAGCAACTATTTCATTTTTAGGTGCAAAAACTTACATTTGGCCCACCTCCATGCATCTTCAAAGCCCTCACTGTAGCAACAAGTACAACCACACTGGGAACCAAGCCAGATGCTCTGCATTTGATGTTGAAGAATTTCTCCATCCCAATGTCAGCACCAAAGCCAGCTTCAGTTACTGTTAAACATTAAAAAAACAAAACAAAACCACACATTAAACATGCTTTTGGTTAAACACTGGGGGATATTTCTACTTTAGCATACAGTGCACTTAAAYACACACCAGTACTCAGTTTTGAATGAACTTTCAAATAGAGGTCTATTTACATTACTGAGTCTGATTAAAAACCTATTCCCAACCCAGAAATAAATTATCTTATTCTTGATATGTACAATATGCCATCAAAGGTAGTTACATGGGGGGAAAAACCCCAAGCAATCTAAACTAGTTTGAACCAAAGTATTTAAAAAATCTCTAGCCCTCTAAAATCAGTGTTTCTGTGCARTTATATGTAAAATTACTTCAAATTCTCACAGATGTAAGCCTTTCCTATATTATTCCTCCTCCTTTGATTTTACTAAAGATGAGCTTCCATCACAACTAATGGATCTAAATTCTCCTAGGTTTGCAGAACTTCTGCTGATTTCTTTTGTGGACAGAATGTATAGTTATATAAACACAAACCAGCAGTTACAATCACATCTCAGTGTTGAATAGCGAATTTCATAATGGGATTTTGCACCAAAGAAGTCAGACATAAATGTAACATGACTCGAGAGAAAAATCTGTGCAGAATTAGGATACACACAGCAAAGTGTGCTTAGTGGAGCTACAAATAAAGAGAAGATAATCTGTATCAAACAACACAAGTCTCTTCAGTAAGAATTTGTTCTGATTTGTCAAATGGCAATTTTTTGACTGCTTCTTTTAAAATCCAAGTAATTCCCTTACATTAGACAAACAGAAGCACACAGCAAATAAAAAAAATTCAATGGATTAAATCTCCTGCTAATTGAAAATTTGGTGATGCAACGATTTCCCACCAGAACACATTAAGGAGCTGGGCTCAATGCACGCCTCTGAGAGATCTGAAGGACTTTCAGGGAGACAAGTCAGGGCGGGAGAGTAACTTGCTCCAGAGGCTTCTGGACCTGACTCCATGCAGGAATGTGTTCTCACAACCCAAAGCAACTTGTAAAAACTCATAAATTCCCTTCTCATTCCCTCTTGCCAGCAGTTTTATCTCTCACTTAGGAGGGGAAGGGACCACAAACAGCTGTTTGAACATTTCAGGGCTGGCAAYCTTCAGCAGGGTCAAGGAGGAGGAGGTACAGATCTGCTCTGTTGCAGTGGCAGAAAGTATCTCACTCTTGGCAACCTATGTGCTTTAGGAAGTCCCAGCCTTTGTGCATTTGTCCTAACCCCACTGGTCCTTTTTCACCTCTTCTTCGTTTTTGTCCAGGCTGAAACAATTGCCTGGATCTGCTCTGAGGGAGGAAATGGCTGCTGGGGCTGGAAGAGGAAGCAAATAGTAGCAAACAAGGGGTGGGTCTGCTGGGGGGAGCAGGGACCACTTGAAATAGTAACATGGCAAGTGTCATGATTAACATTCTCCTCAATCATTGTAATAAGGACTTCAACTTTTTCTAAATAGCCCTGAGAAAAACAGACACACTAAACATGGGGGGTGGGGGCAAGAAGAAAATATGTTTACACAAATGCAGTAATTCATAGGAGCAAAGCTAATGTCAGGGTAAGTCATATTAAAAGCAGAGCCAGGGATCACATTTCTGCTTTCCAGTAACCCTCATTCGTCTTCTCCAGTCTCTTATGTGGCACAGGATGATTAATGAGAACTCTGAATTAGGAATATATAACCACGATCAATCATTAATATAAACAACAGATAAACTACCAAGTGCTTGAGAGGGTGGGAAAATAATTTGTCTCTTACAGAGATTGCCAGCACATATACATAGCAGTCTCCTAACATTTCCAAACAAAGTTTCCAGGGAGTTAATCCATTTCATGCCAAGCCTTTTCAAGGGTCAGTTTCCCTTTGAGAAAGGAGGGCTTGCAAGGCTGCCTTTCAGTGGGAGAAAAGCAGAGATGTCAGCCTTCTACAGCAGCTGCTCGCACAGGCAGCCACCCTTCGGGCAGTCCAGGCAGCGGGGGCTCTGCATGTTCCTGTTTTTTGTAATGCTTTCCTTTGATATCGAGGGCAAAATTCACATTTGCCTAAACAACCCAAACACTGTATCAGAGTTCACCGGAGTGAGCACTAAACATGGAGAACGGCATTTTGTCCCTGGAAGTGGAGGAAAGGGAGATGAWCGTCAGTGCTTTCTCCAGCGTGCGGAAGGAAACAGGATGTAGTAGAAAAGCTGCCTGGATGAAAGTTGCAACTCCATTTTATTTCCTCCAAGGAATAGTAAGAAGATAGAATAACATGCCAAGCTATTATATTTTAAAATCTTTGTGCTGAAACACTTAATACAATTACTTTCAGATTGTTTCCTGCTTTCAAATGAAAGCATCAATGAAAAACACAGACTATGAATGGGAAGTTTCAAACCACGCTGCATTTAGTGATCTTGAGATAAACCAGCTAATCACGTTAAACGTAACAACAGAAATTGAAAATAGTACATGGTGAGCTAATCACTTTATATGTAAAAAAAGAAAATTAAAGTAATACGTGAGTCCATTAATTTTGATAGTAAGTCCTCATGCATAATTTGTCAACAGTTGAGAATTACAGATTACAGGTGAACTCACATAGGTTTGGGGCAGCAAACATTTACTTAAGTAGTTGTGGTCTGCTGTACTTGAACTGAAGAACAGTTGGTGACACAAGCACCACAACCTGCCCATACATTTTTGCCCAGCTTCAGCTCCCCTCCCTGAATGCCTGTTCATCCTGTGCCCTGCCAAGCGACCATTTCCCAGCTCCCTGGATCACAGCTACCTGGGCTGCTGCCCTGAAAGCAGGCAGGGGGTTTGCAATAGGTATCAGCACGGTGTTAACTGCTTGCTTTGATTTCCAGGCCACAAACAGAGTTCTWATGCAGTTTTAATGAAACTAAGGAGGTAAATGATTTGCCTTCAGCGAAAACACACAGGTAKTTCCACTTCCAGGCTGAGAACACAACCCCATGGCAAACACATGCTGACCTAGATCAGTGTCATTACAGTCCCAGGCCTTGTTTTGCATTCTGCAYCCMCTTCTTGCACTGACAAGACTCATCRATGAGCTGGACAAGTGCTAAAAGATTAACTTGTGGGTGCAATTTTAAGTTAGTACAGCTCTCTGGACTCTCACSGTGTGGTCACATAAAGTGCAAAACCTAATTCTAAAAATACTCTGTTTTTTGATTTTATGCTTCAATTTTAGAGCCCACGCATCATAAAGAACAGTGGAATGAGGATTAAAWGTTAAGATTTCATGTGTCAGCAGTGCACTACCATTACATTACTTTCACGAATGGCAATCGGTTAAATCTAGCAATTAATTTACACATGTTTATGCAAAGTAAACTGCATCAAAATGTTTAAATAAGGTCAAATAAATTGTTCTCATAAAATATCCATGCGAGCCTGACCAGAAGCAGCTCATTCTAACACCTTAGGGCAACTGTGGGATCTCTGTTCAAAAAGCCAGTAGGCAAAACACAGCACATAATTACTATAGGCCTTTCTAAAGATCATTTATGTAACATCTACTTCACCCACTCCTGCTACCAAAATATTCAACACACCACGGTTTTCTCTCAGAGCAAGAACCCAAAATATCAAAATTAGGTACAAAGAGGAAGGGGAAACCCACAGAGGTGAAATTAGGCAAGAAGTCTGTTGGGTGGTGTAAAGTCAGAACACACTGTGCACTGGAGTCTGTAATTCTGCTTCAAGGTTCAGGCAAACGAACAAATCACTCTGATGGGTTTGTTTCTTGTTTATAATTATCATAACCTCCTTCATGTCATTACTRCCTTACCAAGGACATCTGGGAATCACCTACACGTGACAACAGCTTAAATAGACAGTGTTGTGTGTTAAGCAGCTAATAAGATTTCACCATCACTCTTAATACAAAATGTAATTTTTCTCAATTTAAAAATACATCTATCTTGGTAAAGCTGCATAAAGTGGTTCCATGTTAGCCTTACAGTGACATAGTGCTTAAAAGCCTTACAGAAAGTGATGTTTAGAATATTTTTAAAAAGCTATTTCACCCACAATCAAACTTCATTTATACTGAGGGTAATACCTAGTGAAAGTAGCTTTTCCCTTGTCAGACCTTTGYAGGAACAAATCAATGTCAAAATAAAGTATTTGTTCTATAAAGGGCCAAGTCAAATGCACACACATGAGGAGAAGCTTGAGGACGAATTGTGTGCCTGGATTCCTGAACAATGTAAAAGGAAATGGAAACTCTGAGCTGCAAGTTGCCATTTAGTCCCCACATGTAAACATATCTGTTCTGGTGCAGCTGTCTGCTGGTAAACTCAGGAAAGGAAGAGTTCAAAGTCACAGAAGCACATAAACTGTGAACCTGGAACTGGAGATATGSTAGCTACAAAGTACTGATATGTTCTTTTTCAAGTGAAAAATACCAAGGTGTGCAATCGCCAAAATAAACCAGGATGATCCCTGATTTCTCTAACAGGATATCATATTTTTGTTAGCATAGCTAGGGATGAATAAGCCAGATGTTTGTCCATTCTAGCAATTTTTTGATGAGAACTCCCATTATTATGACTGATTTTGGAATGTAACAGAGAGTTCCCCCCAAACAGAGGGAGTTTTCCTGTTCATTTTTCTTTCCACGCATTCTCAGATGTCATGGAACACAGGAAYTCACTGATAGCCCTGCTGAACACAAAGTCCAGCAGAAAACTACACATGAACATGTTAAGCCTGAATATTTTCCATGCCATGAAGAAAATACTTTGCACTGGTTGTCAAAATTTTATGTTGTTGTGAGGTCTAGAAGAAAAGGTAATATGAAAAATATTTGCCTCTCAGTTTAAACAGACTGTAAGATGATTGGATGCAATGTGTACTCTCCACCTTTGCTAAAGAAAGATGCCAGGGCAGTATTTGCCCTGCCGAGGTCTGGGCACTGGAGGTTTCTGAGGGTTGGCCACCAATCCATGCTTTTGACTGAACCAGCAGAT